ATTTGGGTCAATGATTCTGAGCTGTCATTAATAGGCTGCTTGTCTTATGACTGTGTCAAAACATGCAGAATGACTGCTGAAGCGTAGATTGTTAAATAAAACAATGTTCATTTCATCTTTGGTTTGATTTAGGATGCTCAACTGCTGCTATCGACAAGAAATTTATTGAACCAACCTCAACCCAATTATATGAGCTAATCTAGACTCGATAGACAGCGACACAATGTTACGCTATTGTCTAATGACACTGAAAATAACATGCAGAGATGGGGTCTCCAGCTCAGTCTTTCATTGGGCGCTCCAGGCTACTTTACGAGTTCCTGCTTCAGTTCATGAAGCAAATAATCAAAAATTCAATTATTTCTTATCAGCACATTAAAGGTTGCTGAATGTACTGGTATGATATTTGAGTATTCAGACTACCGCTGAAGACGTAACGGAATCCGGATGAGAGTATATGAAGGGTGAGAAGGAACTGATTGAATATGAGGTTGAAGCGGAACTTTTCCTACTTTTTTAATAGACCGTGCAATACGAATATAATGTTATATTGGAAGGAAAGGGACAGCTGGCTCAAACATTATACTGAGCACACGAAAGTTAAGCAACGTATCCTGGCTTGAATTTTGGCAGTAAAGCTAACTGTTTCAGTGTTGTTTTTTCGGTTCGACAGTACATTGCTTACGTTGCATATATGCTAATAAATAGAACTTCGAATGTGCATACGCAGTGGCTTTTTAATTTGTGGAATGCTACAGACAGAGAAACTGCAGGATTGCTGTATTACACCGCGAGTTAGCAAAGAGCTCCACTTTTTTGGTAATTAGGGTCATATCATTTTAAAGTTAGTTCGCTAGCCGATGGAGTATCGTGCAAAGGTGACCAGTCTACCTTAATCATTTTGCACAACTGATCACTTTGTTATGACGTATCATACCAACTATTTAATTGATTTGAAATTCATTTAACTTACCCTCTTCTGAAGACATCTTGGTTAAGTAAGGGGTACAAATATTATCGACAGACTGAAAAGAAAGCGAATTCCAGAATTGCAGAAGCTTTACTAAACCCAACCTCGCCAATCTCGCTACTGTCACGGTATAATAATTCCGGGAAACCCCTAACGTTGACTTGGATTGTAAACACTGACCATGGGCAGCTTGCCAATGACATGGCAGGCAGTAAGGTCGACATGGAAAGTGAGCTGAGTTAGTAAATTTATCTTTGGTTTCATTTAGAAGGCGGCTAATCAGCTACTATCAGTAAGAATTTTAACAAACCAGCCTCAACCCAATGATGAACAAATGTAGTAGACTCGGTCTACAGCAACAGAACATTACATGGAAAACCATTGTCCAATAACACTAATTGTTATACATTGAACTCACTATCTCTTTCTGATTGGCCGAAAGCGTACAGTGAATTTTCGAAATCAGCGCCTTTGACGTCATCATGTCATGTATGACCGCGGTGCATGATTTCTACCGATAATCATGTCAAGTTCGCGCGCTTTGTGTTGCTTGCCTTCAGTGAAGAAGCAAAAACATGACTTCTTTTTTTTTTTTTTCGTTCAGTGTATAATGAAACAATTATTAGATTCGGTTTTTGTGATATCCAGAATAATCAAGGTCTCGGTAAGAATTATCAGCCTCAGCCTTCGGCTACGGCTGATAACTGTTACCTCGACCTTGATTATTCTGGATATCACAAAAACCTCATCCAATAATCGTTTAAAATAACAACAAGAGCTGTCGGCTTTTGTGTCTCTCCGTTTGGCACTCTAGGCTATAATTTTCGAATTCTTGGTTAATGACGCAAATGGAGCGATTTTTATTTGACTGTCGAAAAGTAATATTGGTTTTGCATCAGTTACGCTACGCGATTGGCTTAAAAAGCTCGTGCTACGTTCTCATCCAATCAGAAGTAAAACCAAAACCAATTGTGATTCACTCGCATTCGTTTTCCCGCGCTTTGCGTCAGCTACATGTAATAACTTCGAGCTTTGATTTGTTCATCGGATTGTCTGTGTCCTTTGTGATTGGCCAGAGTGATTGCTTTGGTTTTTCGTTTTACGACACTCAATTAAAAACTGCTTTATCGAAAATACTTAAACTTATTATTAACGAGTACTCCATGCCGTTGATATAATATTTGAGTATTCAGACAATGGAAGACTTAGTGAAATCCGGATCGGAGGATGTTGAATGATAACGAATTGGATAGTAGAACTTTGCCTATATCTTCGTATAGTTCGTATAATTTTAATTGGTGAGTAAGAACCGTTCAACTGGCATCAAAAGACCATGGCAGGCGTCTTTGAGACGAGAAACCGAGGTCAGAAAAATTATAATTTCTGACGGTTGAGAAAGAATTAGTCGTGCCCATGGGGAGGAAAAAGAAACTCAAAAACAAAATATTTTGTTATTTTATTGTTTCCAATGATTTGATGTTATTCTGTTCAGTACAAGGTTAGAAAACGTACAATAGGTTTTCAAACTTCACTCAGCTGATTACCGTTAAACGCGCAATTTTTGTTTGGCATCAAACTTTCCGTAATTTAGGGCTTTTTTCAGTTTCATTCCAACAATCCGTACGAAAATGTCCCAAAAGACCCTAATCCGTACGTCCAGTGAATTCTTTTTTCCGCTAAATTGCATGGAGGGAGAGCTTTATAAGAGGGTTAAGTTCGAACAACGAAAGAAACACTATTGGTTTTCATGTTTCTACAGAAATGGATCATTAAATCTAATCCTTTAAACGGTTGTTGTAATAGTTTCTTCCACCGTTTTCGATGATGGTTGATTTTAATTGATGTAATTTTAAAAGAGTTATTTTAATTGCCGCGCCAGTATCTGTACGACTCATATAATCCTATGTTCCCTTTGACATTCTCACGATTTCCTGCCGGAGCAAATGTCGTCCTGCAGTGTGATTGATTGATTATTAAGGTGCTCAATGATCAAGTTGGAACTTCAGTGCGGGGGACATGGGTGGCTATACACTTGCAACAAAACACCGTCACCTGCAAAAAAGAAGCTTTTAGTACATTTTTGAAAATAAACCAGGATCTATGCTTTGAGAAAATTGGGCAAGATTATAAGATTTCTCATGTTAATGAATGTGGCGGGAAAAGATTATGAAATGTAACAACTCAAAAAGTTTTGAACGTCCTCACTATAGTCCAAGTTCCATAACTGGTCAATAATTGAATAATTTAAAATGAATTTTAAATCGTCGACACGACCTAATCAGACCTGGTTCACCTACACTCCAGTACGACAAACGTCATCTACCGAGCCGGTGCAAACGTGTTAACAAAACCAACTATTTAGTACACTATCCACGGAATAGAGATTTGCCTTACTTAATAAATAATCTTTATAATCCATACTTGCAAAAAAGGCGTAATCTACTAGTTATCAGGAGAACAGGCTTACATAACCTATGCCTGGAGTTGATAGAGATCCAGCTTGAGCCTTGGTTGGTCACATCCTTCGTAGTAAACAAGCGGGGCCCCATCTGAAGGTCTCCCTCCTTTGGCATGTACACAGAGGCCACTCTGTAAGTGCATGAGTGACTTCCCTGGTGTCCTGGAAGAGACAAACAGGAGCTAGTGGGAAAACATTGTTCAAACCTCGAATTTGCAAATCCGTCTTTCTCACTAGTTTTCAAGAACGTGGACTGTCGCGTTGCTGCCTATCAAGTTTTAGCCTGTGTTTCAGCCACTCTCCCTGATATTTTCTTTCAGAAGAGGGCGGCTACCTGTGTTTAACCTTTCGCCGAAAAATTGTTCTTCTGTTAAGACCACTGATGAGAGTGCATGATGGCTTTGCATGGTACGAGGACTACGAGAGCCAAGCACGTGGGAGGAAAAGTAGGAAACTTGGCGATCACCTTATGCCGGATTGTTCCCAACCAGAAGCCCATTACCATTACCCATTGATTTTTGATGTTCCTCTGTCCAACAAACGGTACGTTACCCTCTTACCTTTCAAATCTGGCATTTTCTGGGTCACAATTGGAATTTAAAACCAAGTTCGCACCAAAGTCAACTCGACCACCTAAAAAGATAACAACAGAAGCAAACTGGTAAGAGTATTGACAATTTGGGCCTGGTACTAGTAGGATATTTCATAGAAATCCACTTTCCCTGAAGGTAAAATATAATGCTAGCACTTATCTAAAACTGTGCTTGGCTCCGAAATGTCGAGTTTCAAATGCAATGTCAAAACCAGTCAAACAGGTATTGACTCCCAGATAGACTACGGCCGGTCTAGTGACCATAATGAGGCTGATGATGATAAGAAATGTAAAAGGTCAGATACGAAATATTGCATGCCTCGGCTTATGGATTGGAAGCTATATTTTCAAAGATAAATGCAAAATATATTGCTTAGAAGGTACGCTACTGTGTGGAGGGACGTTCGAAATATCTGGATTTTTAACAAACCTCTTGGGCAAACATATTTTCCACTGCACTTGTGCATCAGAACACCATCGTCGTAAATAAACTTCTGATATTCCTTAGAACAGTCGGCGGGAGATTTGTAAACCAACGCTGTCTCGTCAGGTATCTGGCAGCTTGCTCGCTGAGGTTGTACGCAAAATTTGTCAACCGCTCGGATGGGACTTTCTGGTAAATAGATGTGGACGTAAAACGAAAGGAAAAAAGAGTCCCATGAAAAACTTCAATGAAGAGCACAAATTAAACTCGCACTGCAAAAGACGACTTTCCAGGGAAGACCATACAAAAAAACCTACATTTAACGCAAGAAAATATAAATTATCACAGTTTTCCAGACGTGTGTTCTTTTATCGAAAAGTTGAAAATGCCCTGAATCCATTACAACAATGATTAATGTGCTCAATTTAGGGGAAGTGCAACTCGAACAATTGAAACCGAATGCTAATAGTTACTTAGGGTTGGTAATAAGGTGGAATTTGTCAAGTTGAGATATAAGGTACACGCGGCATGGGCTCCTGGTATAACGAACGATATTCTGACCACAGAAACTATAACTAACTCCCAACCCTCCCCTGTAATAAAATTATTTTTGCAGTCCCTTAGCACTCAGCATGTGTGCAGCGTCTCTGTTGGTAATCGTGTCCCAGTAACTATGTTTTAGCTGATGAGCAACCTACGGAATATACCGTATTACACTGCATAAATTATGTCGACAATCTTTCTTGTTGACAGCCAATCAGGTAACAGTAACTGAATGCTATCTAACTGTAGCTGTCGCTAACTGTCAAGCAACCAACTAGAGCGCGACTCCCAAATTCTGGTAAAACAGCAGTATACTGGAAAGCGATGAGCAACAGTTACTCAAGCATCTTAAGGCATGGTTAGAACCCCCGCGAAGACCCAGGCCTTAACATGCTTGAGCGATCCGCAGACGGCCCTTGTCTGAGTAAAACGAAAGTACAAAACGTATTCTAACTGCACTCTTTTAGGAGTCTGGTCTAACCTGGACAGTAGTTACACTCCTGTGTTTCTTTCTGGAGTATTTTTGGATCGCATTGTTTGCCGCCACATTTTGGCTTGGGATTATCACATTTCTTCTGCCTGGTCCTGGTGCCTGGTTTACAGATCTGATCACAACGACTCCACTCACCCCAGCCTGATACTCCGCCATCCACTACGCAATAGGATTAAACATAGGTGACTGTAAGCAACAACAGAAAGTGTTTTCCTGACTGGTCTTCGTCATTTCTTATGGTTCTACTAGTTGGGAGGCACTTCAGATACTTAATCCTCGATTGTCTTATCCTATTGTCATAAATATGTGATCTCAATTTTTCACACAAAACTCTCCATACATATCGTTGAAGTATTTGAAAAACCTCTCGATCAAAATAAGTCATGCTAAAGACGACGTCGTCAGCATAGAAAATAACGGGGGTAAGGAAGAGATGTTGCTGTCTACAATCATAGGTTAGGAGTGCGTTTAGAGAGTAAGTTTAGACTGAAAAGACAATCACATTTGTTAAAAGGAAATAACGGATTTGCCTTTTTTTCTCTTGGTTTTGTTTAAGATTATCTGGAAACGCGGCTTATACACTTGCATTGGTTTAATCAGTCTTATCCGGCAAGAAAAGGAGGCTCGACTATTCACACTTACAAGGTAAGTTTTGTTACCAAGCAACTTGAGCCTAACGACAACAGCAAATTCGTTCATTTCTCTGTGACGCGATTCTGAGATGGTAATTTCTCCTCCAACTGTTTGTGAGGCAAACTTTGTTTAAATTACACCGTCAACTATGTCTGCTATATATCACTAACCTGGTGTCCTGTTCTGATCGCAGTCATCTTCGTTTATCCAATACCATATAACTCCTGGATCAAACATTCCCGGATATATCCAGCTAGCTGGCTTTCCCTCTGGTCGGTCTGTTATGATAGTACCACGAGGATACCAGTCGCCCACTGTCGCGGTGGTCAGCAGTCCAAACGTTCGGGCCAACCAGGGCATGCGCTTTTGAACTCCGTCATCGCTGTATTGCCATTTGCTGAACTTTTTTATGAGGTTGACGTTGGTTTGAGTGTTGTCGGTTTTTAAAAACCTGTGTGGAGTTCAACACAACGTTCTTATTCAAAGGGACAAAAATTCGATGCTGTACATATGATGATAACTTAACTTACCTTACCCGGCTTAATTTTTATTTTATTTTCTTACATACAGTTATAAAGAATTGCTTGCCCCCGCAACTACAATAATTTCAGCACTTATAGAGTCGGGGGCAAGAGTTCACATCAAAAAGGAAACAAAGAAAAAAATCCATGAAAATTACAACAAAATTACAAAATTAAGGTACAAGTAAACAATAGAAACAACTACAAGTAACTGAAAGCAAAGTAACATTGTAATAAATGCCCACATATACAAGCGACTAGGATACGATTACTAAACTATGTTAATTTAGAGAACTTCTGTTTCAGTTGGGAGACTTAACACGATAGAAGAATCAAACAAATCAGTACAAACAAGAAAATGGGTAACCGAGGGTATGGATAGGGGTGCTCGAAACGCAAAAGACTGATTTTCCGCAATTTCTCAGCTATCAGTAAAGTTTGCAGATCTCAGATCTCTGCCTTTACATTTCCATTTCTCGGACAGTTTAAAATTTTAGCTAATTCTTAGCTTTGGTTAAACCCCATCCAAACCGTGCGACAGATGAACAAAACATTCAATTTCTTAGGCTTGATTTCCGCAACTTTGTCAAGAGCTCATTTGCTCAACAAAGGCTGGTAATCGGGCCTATCAGTTTCCTTACGTGTAATCTATTGGAGCTTCCCATATTCCGCCCCAGGTTCCTCGCGAATTAGCCTCCAGTCGATACTTGAACGACTTGGCCGCACTTAGATCTCTTATCTGGTCTGCCACACCCAGTATCGAGTAATCGTTGCCTAGCGACGGTTTCTCGACATTTCGAAACGTTACATCTTTGGCGTTCCAGTTGTTCGAGGCACTAGTGACTAGCAGTGTGTACGCTCCGGGATCTGACGTCATATCGCAGAAGACGGGCAAAAAGTTCAGGTCATTTTCTTTTATCATGTAGACTCCGTCATCATACGCGTTGCCCAGTTGCGAGCCGTAAACCTTGACTTGATTGCACGACCGTCTGTTACGGCAGAAAAAGATGAGCGTTTACAACTGGTTCTTTAGAGGAAGACAACACCTTCCAATGTCACGCTAATATGCCATTTCCGAGTTACCTCGTGCCTCTGTTTCAAAACGAGTCTTCATTCAAAACCCTTCATATGAAAATGATTTGTATGAAAATGAGCATGTAGGCGAAACACATTTCCATATGAATGGTTTCGCACGAAGAGAGGCAAAAGGCAACTTGGAAGTAGCCTACTATTAAAGGGTAAAGTCTCATAATTTCAAAGATCGTTAACAATCTAATTTCTCATTGCACTGTTACGGTATAAGTGCGTTGTTAGCTACGCAGAAAAACAGAATAAACACAATCATCAAAGCAATGCCTATACCTCACAGTTTCGGTCAACAAAAGACAAGGCAAGAAAAGAAATACCAAATAGCAATACCAACTAGCGAGAAAACAAGCCAGAATAGGACTAAAATCATTTTAAAAGTTTAGTTGCGGCAATAAACCGAAACAGGGTTAAACAATTCTAGTACAGTTTTTGACTATCATCAGTATAGAGAAGTTTCTTCAATCATAATTGATTCGTCGTGTTTTTATTTTGGAAACTATGCTTCTATAGAATTGTTTTGCTTTGAAAGGATGATCTAAACAGTTGAAATACTCATGTTGTCCCCAACGGCTTGTGTTTTGCAGCAGAAATCGATAATTTTTCCTGACTTTTTTCATTTAATACTTGGCCACGGTTCCTATAGACTGAGGAGAACAACATCGATGTTTAACTCACTTCTGAACTTTGCGCTCTTTTCGTTCGATATTGTTGAAATTAAACTTTGATCCCGGCATACATGTTTCGTTAGTTGTTAGAATTGAAGCTTATTGACCTTCAATTCTTTTCCATACGTACCTCGTTCCCTCTCGTACCCAGACTTTTATTATCTTAGGTTTGGGTTTTCCGTTCTTTATATAAGTCACTCCGTTAGTAGTGGAGACGATTGTCCCAGAATTATCGCTCGCAGAGCCGGTTGTGTACAAAAGCTGTCCGCTGACTCCAAGACGAGGAACTCTCTTGTTCAAATTTGCTGACGTCTGGTCCCAGGTCCCAAACTTTTTAAGTAGTCGTATGTTTGTTTGTGCGTCAGAAGATGACATCATAGAGTAGCCTCGAACTGTTTCCCAGATCCCCCCAGACGTGTCATCTCCATCAGCCTCAATTCGGTACTAGATGAAGTCAAGAGATGTAAATGTAGTTGTCACTACCCAAGTAATTATAAGCATAAAAAAAATCATTTTTGTTTTCATTTGCAGCTAATAACCTTAAAATTGCATAGAGAAATGAAACAGAGCTCCCTGGAGACCCTCTTTTTAGTGTAATTAACAATTATTCCACGAGCGCGCGTTGGATATGAGATGGTAGATAGCCAACGAGGAGCGTACCGCCGAGTTGGCTATAATCATCTCGTATCTAACAAGTGCGAGTGGAATAGTTGTTTTTTTTATTCTTTAAACGCCCGCAAAATATAGAAAACTGCAATAAAATTAGAATAAGAACGCTCCAAAAAAATTACACGTACACCATATTTGTAGAGCATGGTGTAATGGCTCATATATTATATCAGCTAAACCAATGAATACTCTTAGATTGCATTATGCAATGATCCAGTTTTTAATAAAATCATATATTTCGAGTGGAATCTTATTAACTGGTCGCTCTGGTCGGGTGAGAAATGAGCGAGTGAAAAGAGGCTCATTTTGACTCAGGTTCCTTTTCACGATAAATAAATTTAGCAGTGACAACTCGAGAAAACATAAATACCTGGAAGTTCTCTTTTCCAAGAATACTGTCTGCCTGTCCAAGAATTGAGAAGTCCTCTGTTAGAGATGGTTTGTTTCCATTTCGATCTAGAATGTTCTGTGCATTCCACCCTTGACGGGAAGCGCTGGTAAGGAGTAGTGTCCAGCCTCCTCCGTTACGAGTCATATCACAGTAGCTTGAGACGGCTTTGTCCACTGGCTGAATATTGTAGAAGCCATCTGGAGATCACAGTATAGTCAGACGGGTCCAATAACAGTGTCATTTGTGAGCATGTTTTTAAAATGTTAAATGTTATTAAATGTTCAATGTTTATCGCTTAAAATCCCAACTGGCGGGAGGCAGAACGGTTGGCTATTTACAAGCATGACTGAGGAGTTGAACAAGGAGTTTACCAAGAAACTACTCCAGCTTAATGTCGAGGAAAAGGTTGTCGTTATTCATCGTGGTAGATGCAATAATAAAGTGTATTATCGTTATCGTTCATTGACCAGAAATATGGGCGCACAGCCCTAAGGTTGATTCGTCGACATGAGCATTGCTCTCGCAAGCTCGCACGCTATACCAACCATCTCACCTTTCTCACAAGGTGTATTAAGTACCACATTGTTCCAAGAGATCTGCAAGTTCGGCCGCCAGTTCCCACCAGAGGCGCACGCAGAGTCGCTGAACTAGCATCCATGAGATTCCTGAGGGAAA